TCCTTTCTCCTTGCTCGGAACGTCCGTCCTCGTTCTGTTCGCTCAGGCCGCTCGTCCTCACTCCTTGTTTTCCCGCTCGCTCCTCTTGCTGAGGACGTTCGTCCTCGCCCCTCTTTATCTCTGGCTCAGAACGCTCGTCCGTTACCGTACGGTATCCTCCTTGCTCAGGACGCTCGTCCTCCCCCCTATCCCTCCTATATCTTCTTCTCTCGTACACTCGCCAGGCCCTAACATTACCCACCCCCTGAAGATCAACCTTGCCCTCAAGGTTGAAATCGGGGTATTGATCTTGGATGGTGAGGGCATCTTCCCATGTCGCCCCGTCAGGCCCTCCCTCTTGCCATTCGATCAAGACTTCCTGTCGTTCGTCCTCCCCCTGTGGTACCTGCCTTTTATCCAAAACTCTGACCGGACGTGGGGACGGAGCCTCCATCTCTAAGTCTATTGGTAACTCCTGTTCGACCCGGTGATCCCCTACTGCCTTCTTTAGCTGCGATACATGGAACACGGGGTGTATTCGTGCAGACCCTGGTAATTGCAACTTAAATGCGACTGCCCCCACCTGCTGGATGACCAGGAAAGGTCCAAAATAACGAGTGGCAAGTTTAGAATGTACTGTGGACGACATCGTAGTCTGTCGGTGGGGTCGAATCTTCAGATAGACCCAATCTCCCACCCCAACTTGGGACGGCCTCCTTGCCTTGTCAGCCTGCCGCACCATTAACTCTTGAGCCCTGGCTAGATGGAACTTGAGCTGATGGAGTGCTTCGTCTCTGGTCTGTAATTCCTGATTGACTGCTTCCACTAAGGTCTCCCCTGGAACGAACCTGTGCAGTGAAGGAGGCGGCCTCCCATAGACGGTTTCAAAAGGGGTGCATTTGGCTGACTCCTGATAGCTGGTGTTGTACCAGTATTCCGCCCATGGCAAGACGATGCTCCAGCCCTTGGGTTGTTCGGAACAAAAACATCTCAAATACCCCTCCAAGACCCTGTTGACAACCTCCGTCTGCCCATCGGTTTCAGGATGATAGGCGGTGCTCATCTTTAGTTGAGTGCCTTGCAATTTGAACAACTCCTTCCAAAAATTACTCAGGAACAGCGGATCCCGGTCACTGACTATAGATAAAGGCACCCCATGCAACCTGACGATCTCCTTCACAAAGACTTCGGCTATGGTGCGTGCAGAGTAAGGGTGTTTTAAGGGTATGAAATGGCCGTATTTGCTGAGACGGTCCACTACCACTAACACTGCATCATACCCTCTAGACTTGGGTAATTTGACAATAAAATCCATGCTTATCTCCTCCCAAATTGCGTTGGGGATGGGTAACGGTTGCAGCAACCCTTGCGGTGATGATGTCAAATATTTATGTTGTTGACATACCAGACAGCTTGCAACGAACTCGGTCATGGCTTTCTTCATTCCTACCCATTACAGGGATTGTGCCACCTTGCGGTACGTTCTGTAGACCCCCGAATGGCCCCCTGTCTGCGTGGTATGGAATTCAGCTATCAACTTAGGCACCCAGGCCGAACGTGCTGACAGTACGAGCCTCCCTTTATAGTGCAAGCGCTCGTTCTCCAGTGTGAACGAAGGATGGGAATTTGGGTCTTTTCTCAAATCCCCGATCACCTTCCTTAACTCCTCATCCTCCTCGACTTCTTTCAAGACTTCCTCGAAATCCTGCCAGTAGGGACGAGCAATCACTGTCAATTCCTTTTCCTCCTGCAGATCCTCCTCCTCCCTCCTTGATAGGGCGTCCGCTACTTTGTTGGTAACCCCTGATTTGTACACAATTTCAAAGTCGTACCCCAGGAGCTTTGCAAGCCAATTCTGCTGATTCTGAGTGGTGATGCGCTGTTCCAACAGGTACTTCAGACTTCTCTGGTCCGTGTGCACCACAAACCGCTGTCCCAAAAGGTAAGGCCTCCAGTGTTGTATGGCTAAAACCAATGCCATTAATTCCTTCTCGTATATTGACTTCCTTAGGGATCCCTCGGATAATGCTTTGCTAAAGAAAGCTATGGGCTGCTTCCCTTGCATGAGTACCGCCCCTATCCCTCGTCCCGATGCGTCACACTCAATGTGGAATGGCTGATCAAAGTCAGGTAGGATCAGTACCGGAGCGGTCGTCATTGCTTTTTTTAATCTGGACATGGCCTCCTCGGCCTGCTCCGACCATGCAAACTGCCCTTTCTTAAGAAGATCGGTCAGGGGTCTGGCGATTTTCCCATAATCCTTCACAAACCTCCTGTAGTACCCTGTCAGCCCCAAAAATCCCCTCAACGCCTTCACCGTCTTTGGTTGCTCCCACTCCAGTACGGCTCGTATTTTGTCTTCATCCATTTCTACACCCCTCGCTGAGATCCGGTGCCCCAGATAACCTATTTGAGTTCTGCCGAACTCACATTTCTTCTTGTTGGCTACCCACCTGTTTGTCACCAGTTCCCCTAGCACTGTTCCCACATGCTCTAAGTGCTCCTCCCATGAACGGCTTTATACCAGTATATCATCAAAAAATACCAGGACGAACTTCCGCAGATATGGTTGCAGCAGGTTGTTCATGGCACTCTGGAAAGTGGCTGGTGCGTTGGTTAGACCGAACGGCATCACCATGAACTCGTAGTGACCTTGGTGCGTCCGGAAAGCCGTTTTCTCTATGTCCCCTTCTCCCATTCGTATCTGGTGATAGCCTGACTTCAAATCCACTTTTGAAAAATAGCTGGCTCCTCTCAATTCGTCTAATAACTCCTCTATTAGGGGAATAGGGAATTTATCAGGAACAGTGGCTCGGTTTAAGGCCCTGTAATCCACACAAAATCTCCAGCTGCCATCCTTCTTCTTTACCAAGATTACCGGGCTCGAATATGGGCTGTTGCTTGACCTTATAACGCCCGTCTTCAACATTTCTCCTACCTGCTTCTCAATCTCCCCTTTCATCACATGGGGATATCGGTAAGGCCTTACATTCACTGGGTCCGTCCCTTCTTTTAAGGGAATTTGATGAACCATTCCCCTATCGGGTGGTAGGCCGTTCGGCTCATGAAATACGTCCGCGTGCCGTTCCAGAACTCGCCTCATGTCGTTCGCCTGCTTTCTTGTTAACTCTGGACCGAACGTCTCTTCTTCTTGAGCGTGCGGTCTTTGCTCCTCATCTTTTTCGGTCTCCCCAAGCTCCCATACTAGCAACCAGATCTCCACTTCTTTCATCTTAAGCAAGGCTGCCGGTTCCACCAGTCTCCGAGTTAGAGTTGGGTCTCCTTTAATTGTCATTTTGCGCCCTGCCTGAACGTACGCCATGGTTAGTTGTCCCCAATTCAGTGTTACTTCACCCAGCTTGGCCAACCATTCTACTCCCAATATTACATCCACTCCTCCCAGTTCGAACAGGTGGAATCGTTCCTGGATCACTGCCTCTCCCATATAGATCGTTACTGCTTCACAGCACCCCCTCGTCTCCTTTCTCTGCCCATCGCCCAAACTCACCCTATATGGTGGAGTATCTACTACTGGTAATGCCAGATCTTCTACCAATTTCCTGCTTATGAAGTTGTGGCTGGCGCCACTGTCAATCAAAATCAATACTTGTTGCGTCCCTATTTGGCCATGCAGCTTCATCGTTTTGGGCTGGGTGAGCCCTCCTGCCGAGAAGGCAGATAACTCCATTTGCTCGAGTTCGCCCCCCTCTTCCTCTTCTCCTCCTGGTTCCTCGTCTTCTGCCCATATCAGCATTCGTAGACTCCTTTCTGGGCAGCGATGCCCTGGGCCGAAGGGTCCTCCACACCTGAAACACCTCCCTTCCTCCCTCCGTTTGACGTACTCTGCGTACGGCAAATCCCGTACGTTCCTGCCTTGCGTGTTCGCGAACGTGCGTTCGCCTTCTCTCCTTGGAACTCCTTCCTTTCCTCCCGTACGTCCCCCCTCGACAGGTACCGTTCGGTTTTGATTGTAACGGCTGGGTTCCGTCTTTATCAATGACCCACTTGGTTGTCCCCACGTCTGCCCTTTTCTTATGATTCCCCCTCCTGTCCGCGCGCCCGCTTGGAACGCTTCCACGTCCCTTGCTAGTCTCATGATGTCCATTAATTCCTTCGAGTCGAGCAACCGGAGTTGGTTGCGGATCCCCTCCTGCAGACCAGCCATGAAATATCCCATCAGCTGAGCTTCGGGTATCCTTTCCGCTTGGCCCACCAGTACTTCGAATTCCTGAATATACTCTCCCACGGACCCTGACTGTTTGCAGGATGCCAGCCTCTCAAAAACTGTTCCTCGGTTCCTGCCTCCAAACCGTACCACCAACGCTTCCTTTAAACCTGCCCACGAGCGGTTTCTGGCTTTCTCCCTCCAAAACCGGAACCAATGCCCTGCAATTCCTTCCATGCTGATGTATGCCAGCCGCAATTTTTCGTCCTCGGGTACACCTTGTAGTTCGAAAAATTTATCTGCTCTATAGATCCAGTTCATAGGATCATTGCCTTCGAATATGGGTAACTCGACCCTCCGCCTCCAATACGGCTGTTCCTCTCGGGGTCCACCCTCTAAGCCTCCGCTATCCCTCTCGTCCTCATCATTTCTTCTTCCATTGACCGATCCTTGGCTACCATCAAGGTTTCCATCGTACCGTCGACCTCGCTCCCCTATCACCCTCACTAGTTCCTGTACTGCAGCTTCCAGTCCTCCCATGGAGATTTCCATGGTCTCCATCCTTCCTTCCATCGCGTTCACCCTTCCTTCCATGATGCTTTGTTCCCCTTAATAGGAATCCGGCAGTTTCCTCCTTGACGATCCGGCAGTTTCCTCCCTTGACGATCCGTCAGGTCGGACCAATTGTTACGTGCCTGATCACGTAACTTGCCTCTCACGGTGAACGTACGTACTTAACTGAATAAAACTCTTTATTATAGCAACTGTGGTAATCACAAACACAACCAATGACTGGGAGCAGGGTCTCCTTCAGTCACACGAGAGCATAACCTCTCTTACAATACTCAAATAATCAAAACATACCCTAAGCTCTAGGTGCCTCCATTATTAATACTAATTACTCCTTCCAGAAAAGGCAGGGAATAATATTAATTGCCTATTTATTATAATTATCTGGAAGAAATCATTCTATCCTAATTTATTATATTAATTACTGCATTTATTACTGGAATACGATGCTGAGCATCCCCCTTGAATTCTCGCCTGTCCTTCCGTTTGCTAGTTAAACGTTCGTTGTCGTTTCCCGTGTTTCAGGACGCTCGTCCTTACTTCGGACGCTCGTCCTCACTTAGGGCGCTCGTCCTGGCGGTCTCATTACCGCTCGTCCTCCCACATTGCACTCCTGATCCGAGTGCCCGTTTCCTTCCACACTTGTTGCAATGTTTCCTCCCAGAAAGTTGAGGACAAGCCCATCTCAAATGTGGTCCTCCACAACTGATAACACGTCAAACTCCTTTGCTGTCCAGTTTGGCCAACAGTGACCAAAGCTTGTGATCCGCCAGATGATTGAGTGGGACGGACGTATGGGGATCTTCTTAAGTTCGTATTGTTTCTGGATGTAACCTGCCCCCTATTCAATTGCTGCTTCTTCTGTTGCTCGGCCTCAGCAACATTTTTCTCCAGAAACTTTACTCTCCAAAACCATGGCAGGGGAAAGGGACGATAAGCACAGGCAGGATAATTAACATTTCAAATACACTTCTAAGGCCCATTCTCAAACTTCATGCATTGCCATCTTCACTTGTAGCCATGGTAGTGAAAGCACAAGATTGTTTGGAATTGTTGGTGTATTCCGAGACGACATACTTGCATTGCACCAATTGAAGGAAACTCCAATTCCTTAGCAAACCGCACACTGTCAGGGAGTATCTTCATAAAATCTAGTTCATGGAAACTTCCAGAAATTGACTTTGGGGATTCTTCAAACAACATCTTCACACTGGACCACCATGGGCTAGCTGCACCCGTCAACAAATAATCTGTGCATGCCAAACGGTTTTCATTTGGACACCTCTTGGCATCATAAATCCTTTCCATATCTCTTAGCCACTGATCCGCTTCATCAGGAAGCCCTTTCCCATTAAACTTGGCAGGGTGGTGCTGCAAGAAGCTTTCCAAACTCCATTCGGCATGAGGTGCAGCATTAGAAGAAGAAGGCTCCTGGTGTGCTTAGTAGAGGTCAGCAGGTCCATCAATTGCCTCTGAGTTGCTTCAGAGCTGATACGTGAGGCCTCCAAACTATTCAGAGCTTCCTGGTTTTGCCTCATTAAAGCAGCGTTCTGTTCTATCAAAGTGGTGTTCTATTGTTGAAGCCTGTCAATGACTGTCTCCAACATCCTGGTATTATTAGAAGAGTCAGCCTCGTTTGGCTGAGGTGGGGGAGGAAGTCTAGGCGCCATTCGTTTTCTGGTTCAGAGAAACGCACGTAGTTATGTCAGAGTTTTACAAATAATAATCATCAACACACAATAAGCACCACAACGAAAGCTAGTGTGTACTCATACCCACATGTCCTAAAAAGAACAAAACTGCTCTGATACCAATAAAGTAACATCCCAATAAATAGTAATACTTAATAGAAACTATCACATTTACAGAAAAATACAGTGCAAGAAATCTTAATATTACAACAGATGCTCCAAAAGACAACAGCACGTAAACAATTTTTACAGTGTTCAGAATTTTTCTAAGTACCAAACCAGTTCTGGATGAACACTTCTGCAGTACTAAATACAGACACTTCACAAAATACAGCACAGAAAAATCTAACATCTACTACGGAACTAGCCCCGACTGCTCAGATTTAACTTCAACTTCTACCAAGTTGGCGTCCTCAAATTTTCTCTTATCGCAATGCTTCAAGGGGGGTCTCTCCATCATGCTCACATCCACAACGGAATGATCATTGCATTGGACAAGACGGACATACAAAACAGTAGACACACAAGGATTGCAAGGTAAAGCTTAGATATTTAATTCCAATACATCAACATATTTTAACATAGCAAATCAATCATACATTTCATACAACATTAGACATATATCCACACATACAGTACTCAATCAGATTCTCATAATTAAAGACTGTCCGGACTGTATGACATGTATCTACAGGCGTTCTTGAACCCGGTGATGTATAAATGGGATACCCCAAACAGCATGCCACCAGGTTAACCCTTATCAGCCCAAGAGTACTATGTCGGACTAGTGCCTCCATGCATTCCAACGCAGAACTTACTCTCCGCGAACATGAGGATGAGGAATCACGGAATATCAGGATGAAACAGCATCAGCGCTTATCCATGGTCATACTACACTACTCTCAGATTCACATATAGAGACGTCCTCCTTGCGCTCATTCACAATTCGTTCAATCACATCATTCAAAAAACGTCATTCGCACATTTTTATCAGTCTCTTATGCAGTTTTCATTCTGTGTGTCCACTCTCTAATTTAAACAAAAGGTATTCATTTAATTAGATCAAATGATTAGATTACGTACACTGCTATCAAGTTCTGAACAAAAGAAACGCGCCATTATTCATTCACGGACGTTGATACAATTAACTAATTTAATTGAAATTGAGTCTAAAAGATCCAAATAATACTTAGGAAAATTCTAAGTATAAAGACTTGAGGTCAAATGAAAAGGACCATCACAGTTTAAATGAATTCAAATAAATAATCAGAGCATTAGTAAATTCGGAAACGAACACTGCCAGTAAAAAAAACCGAACGTTAATTAATAAATTGAACGAACACTGTGAAGTTCGCTTACAAGCAATGATAAGGACGAGCGTTCAGTAGAAACTGAACACTGCCTTAGGACGAACGCCAGGTCAATGACGAGCACCAAATAGAACGAAACGCGCATTTGAAAGAAACGTTCGGTATCAGACCAAACGCTAACTAGAACGAACGTCAGCTAAGACAGAGGAGTTATTTGGACGAACGCTAGTATAAACTAAGCGCACTTAGACGAACGATGGTAAACAAAAACCGGAGCGTCTAAATATTATCACTTTATTTTCAATCTGGTACAAGCTAGCCAGCCGAAAACGCTCACACCAACTTTGACACAATTAACGCTCGTCTTATCAGAGTCTTTTCCAAATGAAAGAACCCTTATTCTAAAGGGAAAATGCAGGGACCGAACGTATAAGACGTTCGATTAAGAGGCGGACATGATCAATCAGAGAAGATCAAATTTCCAGATTTGTTTCAACACGATAATTTTCACAGCTTTCATTATGATCTGAACTTTAATAATTTCACCTTCACCATACTCATACAGTACAGAATGCATTATTAGAATCTCATCAATACAGTATTTTCCAGTTTTCCCAGTCAAACATCTCATCATTTACATACAGTTTCCCAAAACAATATCATTCCACACCATACAGAATTCAATCACATTCCAGAATATACATCTCATTATCTGCATTACGGCTCAACCAAATAAACATCATCAACATATAATTCCCAAGTTTATCAGTCTATATACAAATCAGTTACAAATAGACTAGTGCTTGGCCATACTCCAAAATATTCATAGATGTCATAAAATTCAAACATTCAGTACACTGCATTGCTGTCATAACATCAAACAATTATTAAAATTAAATTACTCAAAGCTTCCCTTTACCTCTTGGTCTAGCCAGTGAACTCCCAAATGCTTATGGTTTTTCTCTAGTGTTCTCACGGCTTCTACCCAACGACGTTGTCCACTCCAAGATTTCTCACTAAATCTAATAAACCAAAAATGACATAAGGTTCAGACCTATAACTCATGATGCAACCAGAAATGGTTCGAATGAACTGAACTAGATGAAGGTGCAGAGAACGAGAAAACTTACCCGTTCAGGTTCTCAGTTCTGTTTGGTTCAGAAGAATGCTCACGGTGCAGAGAGGTTTCCTACGGTGTCTGAAATGAGATTGGAGGAGATGAATGTGAGTTATCTTAGAGAGAATATGAAAGAGTTCAGGGAGAATACAGAGAAGATGGAAGGCCAGAATTTCTTGAGGAGAGAAGATTGCAGGAAGGGAGAAGTGGTTTCAAGAAATTGTTTTTCTCTTCCTCGCAAACAATGTGCACTCACATACTGCACCTGATTTCACTACAGCTTTGGAAGCTTCCAACTGACAGATGGCTAGGCATGCAGAGAGGAAAAGAGTGGAATTTGCGTGGCACAGTGCATTTAAAAGTGTGATCAGAGTAGGGATTTGTATATATAATTTATCAGGGTTTCACATAGGCTCCAAAATATTTAAACTTGAATTTTATATTTAATATTGATAAATAAAAAATGTTGTTAAAATATTATTTAATATAATAATAAACTTGCTTATGGATGATTTATAATTTTAAATCCTTGTTTTATTTTAATTTGTAAGATTTTATATTGTTTGTCTATGTAATATATTTGTTTAATTTGTGTGTCAAAATATTTTTTTAATATATATGATTAAAGTTGTCCTAAATGTGTAAAAAGACTTATATATAAAAGGTATTGCTAAAACTTTACTTTGTTCGTTTAATCAAGATGTTCAATTTATTAATAATTTTGTTAATAGTTATGCATGCATGAAATGAGTTTTTTAATGTGTTTCTCATATTCATCTTAAAATATTGGATAAAAGCACAGGGTATTTTTGTATGTTTACTATAATTTGTTTAATAAAACATTAACAAACAAAAACACTATATATGGTAGACTATTTAATTAAA